TCTCCTGTCTTCTGGGGGCCAGGCCCTCCCTGTCTAGGGCCCTGGGGTCCCCAGCCAAGGGAGGGGAAGCTGCAACTTGGTTGGTCAAATTGTACTCTTAATCAGATTTTTATTTAAACTTCAAACGACCCCTGAGGAGGAGATTCCTATCCTGATTTATCAAGAAGCTGAGCTTCAGACCCAAGCTGACGTTAGTAATTGGGGATTTGAACCCCTGGCGGTGGGTCCTGAAACAACGGCTCTTTTTCCCAAACCAAGTACCAGTGGCCAACCCCGTGGGCACATTGTCCTTCAGAAGCAGAGGCCCCTAAGCAGCCCACCCTCCCGGGTCTCCTGTCCCACCTCCTCAGTGGAGCTCTCACTGCGGCCTCAGGTCCAGAGGGCCCTCTGTGCTCACCTCTCCGGGGGCTTTTGGTCCAGCGGGGGCTCGTGAGCGTCTGGGCTGCAGGAGGCCCAACACGAAGTGCAGAGTCTCCAGCTGGTTCTGCTCACCCAGGAAAGGCCCTGGTTGCAAAGCTGGGTCCAGGTTAAATGAGGCAGGCAGAGAAGTGCCAAGGGCCAAGGCAGTGCTTCCAGGAAGCCCGCAGGGCTTATTGGGAAATGGCTGTACTTTCACTTTCCTTTTTTGGTCTCTTGCTTACAGATGTGCAGTGAAGCGGACGGCTGACTCCGAGCCAGGCCTGGGTCACCTCTTCCTGTCCCAGCTGTGCAAAGGGCATATGAACGAGAAATACTGCAAACCATATCAGTAAACAAAGAATGCTGAAACCATCAAGGCATCAGCGGCTGCCGCCACCCCCCAGTGAAGACAAGCCTGCAGCCCGGCCTCTGCAGCCACTCACAGAGGTGCACTCTGAGGGGACTCGGAATAAGAAAGGACAGGATACTGGCCCTAGATGGCTAGATGCTTGTCAAAGGAATGAATTCAATGAGCCCAAATGTTTGCTTCCTCCCGTACAGAGAAAAGCACTAAATTCTTTAACTTGAGATGCCTGGTTTTCTTTAGATGACAAGAAATCTTTTATTGTTCCAACCACCTGGTCTTTGTTGTAAAGCTCCTATATATCCTAGCTCCTCCCCTACCTCTTCGGAGCAGTCCCTCAGAGAGATCTGGGAGGCTGTCATCCCGGCTCAAGTCTTCCCGCCAAATAAAACAACTCTCAAGTTTTAGGCTGCGCATTTATTTCAGTCAACGGGCAGAACCAGTGTGGTTACATCATGCAAGGACTCTGAAGTTGAGTGGTATCACTGTGACTGCCCTTGGCCTCCACCCCCTATCTGTGAAATGAGTATTAAACTAGCCCTTGTGGTGAAGAAACTATCATGAAGAGCCCAGGAGTGAGGGAGGCAACGCCTGGCGTGGAATGGGCATCCAACAAATTCATCACCGGTCCTACCACGAGCACTGGCATCCCGCCCTGCAAGGTGGGTGACGTTAAAGTCAAATAGCTCTTTTCTGTAACTGCAAAATGCGAAAGTCTCTGAAAACAGAAACGTTTTTGCATAATTCACTCGCTGGTAGAACCTGACCCGAAGTGGTGCAAGTGTATAGTTTTGATGTATTCCCCTTCATTTGCATATTCATAGCTTCTCTGCAGAAACATGAATAGTGTTTGACCAAGGACGGTGTTTAGGGTAGGTCTCAGCCTATCGACAGCCAGTGTTGTGGTTGGACCAGCCCCTGTGGTTCTCATTGGGATTAATAATCATCAGCAATAACCATCAGAAAACTTAAAAATAAATAAAGGTTTGGGGGGAGGGATACATTGGGAATTAGGTTTAACAGATACACACAATTATATATAAAAAACAAGGACCTACTGTACAGTACAGGGAACTATATTCAATATCCTATAATAACCTATAATGGAAAAGAGTCTGAAAAATTATTTTTATATATATAATATATATAACTTAATCACTTTACTGTACACCTGAAACATTGTAAATCGACTATACTTCAATAAAATTTTTTTAATTAAAAGATGAATCTGCTGCCAAATATTTGAGTCTATAATTGCAGCTTTAACATTTTTTATGCCAAAAAAGTGTATCTTTCTTCAATAAATGTACCTTTTTCAAAGTAAAAAAAGAAAAAGGTTTATTAGTTACAGAACTTGGAAATTATATAAAAGAAAATAACAATTCTAAATCAGTTAATTAATTAAATAAAGGTTTATTACTTACAGGACCTGGAAGTGATGTGGCACATCTGGGCCACACATGGGGGCGGGGCGAGGGGAGGGAAAGAGACAGAGGAAACCAGCAAGAGGGCCTGGGGTTCTGCTTTTATGGGGGTTGAGGGTAGGGGCCTAGGGTTTCGAGGGCTCACACTTTACTGGTGAATTTAAAACCTGACAGCGAGAATTTAAAGTGCAGGAAGAGAGAAAACAAGTGACCCAAATGGTCCGTGATTGAAGTCAACCAAGATCTCTAAAACCAAGGAGACTCAGTTGGGGAGGGGCCTGGCTCTTTGGCCCTGTGGCTGAGGGGGTGCTCGTTGGAGATCACCATCTTTGAACTGCATGCCTTGGCAATCAAAGCTCCAGTCCGACAACTGCATTACAGACAACAACAAGCCCCCACCCCAACTTTAGGGTTTATACCGCAAGAGGGCTTCTGGCGGTGCTGCGTGGTATATAATGTCTGCACCTTTCTAAAAAGCCACAAAACTGGAAAATCTGAAAACCAATCTGGCCCCAGTGAGTTGAGACACAGGATTGTGGTCCTGACTCTCCCATTTTACAGATGAGGAAACTGAGCTCTTGAAAGGGTGAGTGGCTGGCTCATGGTCACACAGCTGCGAAATGGCAGCCCCAGTCCTAGCCTCCCATGGCTGTGGGCATGAGCCTCTGATGGAGTCCCGGGCTGAGATGTGTGCCTCCGTGTGTGTGCAAGCTGGGATTAGGGGCTGTGTGGTTTACATGCCCAGAGGGCCCAGGCCCTCTCCCCAGACCTCCCTGAGGCCACGCTGGGGGCTGTTGCTTGGTGGGAGGCGCGTGCCCACCCAGCCAGGCTTGGTCTGCAGGGTGGGAGCTGGTTGCTGTTCTCTGGGCCCAGTGGGCAGTTCGGAGGCTGGGGGGCCCTGAGCTGGGACTCGCAGGGGACTTTACAGCTCTGGTGCCCTAGCCTCCCGCACCCTGGGATGCTCTGAACAGAGGCTTTCCTAGGGGTTGAGGTGGCTAGCTGGGGCAGCTGAGCCCTCTGGGGCCCCTGCTGTTTTTTTCTGACAATACACCAGATGTTGTGGCCTCTCCTCAGTGCTGGTAGCTCAGGAAGTGGCCAGCCGTTGGGCTGGGGGGTGCTTACTGCAGCAGCTCTTACAAATAGCCCCAAGAGATGCTGCACGAGCAAGTCATCTGTCACCTGCGGGAAACCAGCATGAGTGGTCAGACAGAAAAGCCGAAGCCCTGCAACCCAGGTGAGCTCGAAGGTGGAGATGCTTCATTTCCTAAAACACATCCAACCTTCCTCCCCCAGGGCCC